CAGGGCTGCTACAAGAGCTTGGGTTTGGAGGCTTACCTTCTGCTGCAGATGGGCCTGTTGGGTGGCCTTAGCCTTTTCCTCTCGGCCATTAAAAACTTTAAATGCCATGTTTACCAGGTCTCGTATGGGAGTTTGGGGGCCCTCCTCAGCTTTTTTAAGTTTCCTCCTTATATCAGCCGCCGACTGGGAGATGAAGTGGGTGGCTAGGACTGTAGCCCCTGCTAAGGAGGCTGGATCCAGCTGGGTATGGAGGATCACAGCATTAGATAATTGGTTAAGGAAGGCAGCTGGGTTTTTATTAGGTTCCTGAGTTATTTCCCTTAACTTGTCATAATGGACTACCTTTTGGGCTGTGCTTTGCATGCCTGCTAGGAGGCACTGTAGCGTTTGGTTTTGGCGGTGGTGGCAGCTGTTTTGACCAGTTTGATAATTTTAATTAGGGTTGGCCTTGGGGACTGCCGCTGTACCTACTGGCATCTGATTGTCTGTGAGATTCACCTGATTAGCATGCGCCCGGGCCACCGTAAGGATGCGGTCATGCTCATCTGGGGTGAGGGTGGAGGATAGGATTACATATGTGGTTATGCCAGGTTAGGTTATATGCCTGGGTAAGATAGCGGAACTCTTTGGTGTAGGCAGTTGGCTTAGTGGAGAAAGACCCTAGGTGCTTCTCGATAGCCAATAGGTCAGAGGGAGAAAACGGAACGTGCACTCATACAACTCTCTCGGCCCTGGCTACCTCACGCAAAGGGCAGAGGAGCCGGGGGGTCATGAGAGTGGGTGTGAGCACTGACAAGGGAACTTATATTAGGGCTTTGGGGAGGAGAAGGAGAAGAGGGAAGAGGGAGTTGTGGCCCCGCATAAGGGGGGGGGGGTTGGTAAAGTGGGCGAGGCAGGACAGATTTTCCGGGTTTTCGGAGAGTGCAGAGCCTGGCAGAGGAACAAGAGCAGAGGGCGGGTCGGGAGCGCAGATACTAAAAGGCCTGGACTTTGGGGACCTCCGACTACTTGCCGTTTTTTTTTTTTTTCGGCAAAAGTTATTTAAATCTGTTAGGACATTGAAGTTGAGTGTGTCCTCTGGAGGCCACTTAGACTGGTTATTTAGAGAGTACTGTGGCCAGGCCATAGCAGAGAGGAAGAACAGCCTTTTCTTTTTTTATGGAAAGGCCCAGTTTGGGTAAATTTTGGACTAGACATCCCAATGGCAACTTGGGGTCTAGGCGGGACTCCTGATTACTCTCTCATAGTTTACTCTCTGTTTTGGGATAATTAGGGGTGAGGAAGGATTCTAAAAAGATATTATATCTAACACAGGCAGAAATACTCCTGTCCCGGAGGGGGTGGCCGAGAGAACCTACAGGCTGCAACAATTATAATAAGAAAGAGAATAAAAGAGACAGGGCTAGGGCTGTTTGCCACATGGCAGAGTTAGAGGAAGTGAGGCCTCAGTAGTAGAAGAAAAGGAGAAGGAAAGAGAACAGAGTTACTTTTAGGGGCATAAATTCAGTAAAGGTTTCCTGCAGCTAGTCGTTTGTTACCCACTGTAGAATATTTTTTACTTCAAGGGAAGCAGGCCTAACCCACTGTATATCAGCTAACAAGAGTCTAACAAAACTGGCGAATTTACAATAAAGACAGAACCACATATAGGATTGACAGACAAAGGATAGGTGCCCCCCAGATGAGAGACCAGTCTGATGCCTTCCCGGCCACATCCCCGAAGGGATGTTTCAGGGCATCTTGGCTAAGGTGTACCCGTATAACCCCCGGGCCTGGTCACCTCAGACCTTTTAGTCGTGAGGTGAATCACCGTTATGACTTATGACGTCCCCGTGGAACTGTGGGCTGAGGTCCACACAAGCCCCATAGCTGTTAGGCTGTGAGACTACACATAAACTCACTCACTCACTCGTGCCGGGGTTAGGAAGAGAAACTGAAAGTACAGTTAATTCACAGACAGGAGCTTGTATGCCAAAGGGCTAGTTTGAGGTTGTAAGCCTGGGTTTTGGTCCTGCTCCTGGGCAGGGCCCAGGTTTGTAAACAGGGCTTCTGATGACCCAAACCTCGGCCACTGCTGCGGAGATGATCAGAAGAGTGGCTCAGCGTCCCGGGCTGCGCCACCAAACACTGGAGGATACGAGAGGGTTCAGGAAGGTGGGGACGTCTCCCACAGAATCCTGACCATGAGAAACCCCTCACAGGGAGAAGACAAGAGTGTAGGGACATCTCTATGCTCAGGTCCTCGAGACGAGGCTGGGACCCCGGGCCCACGATGAGAGACGAGGAGTTCCCGACGCGGCCGCGATTACGAGCAGGGAGTCCACGAGGCAAGCAGCGGGAGGGGTTGTAGGCAACAGAAGTCTTACCTTGTGGTGGAGCAGCTCCCCGGTCTGACTTTGAGAGGAGTCAGTTTCCCCCAGGAGGGGTCTTACAACTCCTCCCTGGTTTCGGCACCAAATGTAAGGTGTATTGCCAAGTTAAATGAGGAAATGAGGCTGGAATAAGAAAAGTAAAAGCCAGTTTATTCAGCTCCCAGGCAAGGTTCTATGGTCCGGGAAAGGGGCCAGAGAAGTCGCGCCCGGCTGTTTAGGGTGTGGGGTTTTATGGGGAGGGGAAGCAATTGATTGGCTTTTGGGAAACAAAGTGAAGGCAGCTTTATTGGCTGTTGGGAAACAGGATGCGCGTGGAGCGAGCTGTCATTGGTAGGTGGGCGGGACTCTGGGTAAGTGGGCCAGCCGGGGGCTATTGGGCAGGGTTTTGTGGGGCTTCTTTAACATTTTTTGGTGGGGTTTTTCAACGGTGGGCTGGGGTTGAGTGTATAGTTTGGTGCCGAGTGTGGGCTTGGGTATGGTATGCAGAGGCGGGTGTGGGGAAGCCATGTGGGGAGGCCAGATAATGAGCTTGAGGTGATGGCGTAGTTATCAGGCGCGGTGAGGGGTGAGTGTGTCCATTCAGCTCCCAGCGAGGCAACCAGCCTTACAGTGATCACAGTTTCAGGTTTGGGTTCAGGCTCTGCCATTTTCTCTGAACAGTAAGACTTAGCTTCTCAAACCCTCTGATCCGTGTTCTGTGAAATGAGGGTAGAAAAGCTGCCCTGGGTGGTTGCCATGCCGTAGTCGTTCACTCGTTGCATGGACGTGAATCAGGTATCCTGTATGCCTGGCAGTGTCCTAGGCCCCGGGGCAGAGCAAGCAGACAAAACAGAGCGTGCATTCATCAGGGAGTGAGCCGCTGATGCACGCACATAGGCACCCGTGTACACATGTGTGCACACATCTGATATAAGGGGTGGCTCCTGCTGAAAAGAGGAAAATAAAGGACTCTAGAGGGAGAGGAGGCATTTCCAGCACCTCTGCGAAGGTGACATAGGATCAGAGACCTGAGCAAATGTTGGGGAGCCCTGGAAGCTCTGGGGCGGAACCCCCTGGGGCATTGGAGGCCTTTGTGGCTGAAGTGGAGAGGCCAGGGAGGGTAGGGGGCAAAGCATGCAGGCAGTGATTTGGGTGCTATTTCCGTCAGAGGGAGGTCACTGAGCAGGAGTGAGGTGGCGTGGTCTGCACATCAGGAAGCTCGTCTGGCTGCTGAGTGCTGGCTCAGAGATGGTCAACACCTAGAGCAGCCAGCAGGGTGCCCGCCACACGGAAGGGCCCAGTCAGCACTGGCTGCCACTGTTCTGTGGTTTCCAGATGTGATCTGTCTATGGCAGCCAGCCCTCAGAGTCATTCCAGGTGGCAGGCAGCCCCCTCCCCGGCGACCAGGGCCTGACAGAAAGACAGGTCTGCTGAGCTTCTTCCCCAGGATCTCTGAGTGGGGCCTTCTCCCGTCCCGCTCTGCTCTCACCAAGAGAGCAAATGGTTCGTCACCCACCTGAGCTGGGGATGGGTCCACACAGAGGACGGGGGTGTTTTGTGTAGAGTAGTCAGAGAACGCTTTTCCCATAGCATAGAAATTATTTTCTAGGTAGCCACAAAAAAGAACAAAAGTCATGTCCATTGTACCAACGTGGATACAGCTGGAGGCCGTTATCCTCAGGGAATCCATGCAGACACAGAGAGCCAAACACTGTGTGTTCTCACTTATAAGTGGGAGCTGCACATTGGCTACACATGGACGCAAAGATGGAAACAGAAGACACAGGGAGTCCAAAGTGGGGGCGGAAGGAAGGCAGACAAGGCTTGAAAAACAGGCTCCTTAGGAGCCAGACCACAGCATCAATCACATTGTATGGCCTGGTAACCAACCTGCATGTGTGCCCCAAATTGAAAAAACACATATTTTCTACATATTTAGGGCAAATTATTAGCTTGGGATGGCCAAGGGCCAGAGAGGTGGGGCAGAAGACGACGTTCCTCTCACCAGAATCAGCCACTCTGAACTGGGCCCAAATCGATTTACATTGTACATCACTGAGAAACTCACCCTGACAGAAGTAGCTCCAGGTTTCTTGGAGTTATGACACTTGCTGTATCGAAGAAGCTCTCTCTGCCTGTGTGAGGGAATTTCAGAGGAGACGGATTTTGGGCTCCGGGTTTCTGGATGTGTTAAGGATCCCCAAAGACCTCCTCTCTGTCCTGATATGAAGGAGGGTCCCTTCACAGCCCACACCTCAGGACCCTTTAATCGTCCCAATACAAAATTCGGTAGCAATGTCTTCTTCTTTACTTTTTGGATCTCTCTGCTTGCTGTCAACAACCACATGGCGTCACTAGGGATGCCAGCATAGACCCGTGAAGGGGCTACATAGGTCAGGGAATACAAATGGCTCACTTCTACTTCATGTGAGGCTGCAAGGCCTGGCTCTGGGAAGCTGGGGCTGTGGGTATTGTTCTGTTAGAAGCAACCTGGGAGAGCTCTGGGGAGTGGGTTTGTCCCAAGGAAAACCTGGGGTTTGAGGTGCCCCCGCTGGTGAGGCTGAGTTGCATCTGAGGCCTTGGCTGGCCCCAGAGACCCAGTTTCGAGGTTCCGGGCTCCATCGTTTGGCTCCTGGTCTCTCCTGCCAGAGGATGAACAGAGAGAGAAGTCGGTCTCCCACCAGACGGTGCAGCAGCTGGTCCTGGAGAAGGAGCAGGCCCTGGCCGACCTGAACTCTGTGGAGAAGTCTCTGGCCGACCTCTTCAGGAGATACGAGAAGATGAAGGAGGTCCTGGAAGGCTTCCGCAAGGTGGGGCTGAATCTGGGGCCCCTGGAGAAGGAGGATCTGGTTGGGAGAGATTGTGGGGAGCACTGGGTGGGTTTAGGGGTTCCAGAAGTCCATCTTGAGCCACCTCCGAGGAGGGGGTCCACACAGGCTGGGAGACAGACTTGGCTGCCCGGGGTTGCACCTGCGTCCGAGAGTTCATGGGGTTCCCGGCACTCCTGGGCATTTGTTCTCGTGAGCTTGACAAGCCTTGTCCTCTGCCTGCGTGTCAGAATGAAGAGGTGCTGAAGAGATGTGCCCAAGAGTACCTGTCCCGAGTGAAGAAGGAGGAGCAGAGGTACCAGGCCCTGAAGGTGCACGCAGAGGAGAAACTGGACAGGTAACGTTAGCCATGTGGGGCTGTGTAGGGCACGTTGGGAGCCAGATGTAAGGCTGAGTGCCCCACAGGGTCGTGGGGTGAGGCTTATGCTGTGCTGAGGTGCAGGATCTGAGAAATAGAGAGACAGGACACAGAAGTACAAAGAAAACGCAGCTGGGCTCGGGGGGCCACACCACCTATAAGCAGAGTCAGGCGAGGCCGGCGAGGCCCCGAATGTCCAGAAGCATGAGTATTTATTGTGTATAGGTTAGGGGACAGGGCAGTGAGTGAAATCCTCTTTAAGGATAGTGATAGGGTCGTGAGCAATAAAACATAGGGTCCATCCCCATTAGGTCACCTAGGCCAGGAGGTGGACAGTGCACAGCAAGGGGCCCATTTCCACAAAGGCAAGGGCCGTGTGCAGTAAGGGGTCCACCCCCATTAGGTCACCGAGGCTTGAAGGTGGGCTGTGCACAGTGAAGAGGGTGCAGTGTGCGATACTTCTATCTATGGGAAAACTACTTCTAAGAAGATTTATAGGAGGATGCTTTAAGTCACATAGCAGTGACAGAGCTGTCAAGGTTACCACCACCTTCTGGCAGCTTCCATTGGGTTCTATGGGAAGATGCTTTTCAAGAAGCACAGTAGCAAGAGCTGATAAAGTTCACAGTCACCAAGGTGGATTGCCGGTCTGAGGGCAGCCTTCCACAAGAACGGGAGCAAGGTCCTACAACTCCTTTATCAGGAGGAGCGGCTGTCGCCCCAAGCCTGCCATACAGCGAGTATCTTTACGATACTAAACGCTGCCGCCTGGGCCATGGAGTGTCCACTCTAGGCATTCCTCCAATTATGAACTAAGATATAATTATAGGTATATATGTAGGGAAATATTCTTTAGGCACTCATACTATCAACTATTATATGATTATATATAGAGGATTATGTAAAGGGAGACTTCATTCCCTATTTCTATAAACTGATATATAATTATGTAAAGGATTATATAAAAGGAAATAGTTGATTAATAACACTATAAAGTGAGATATTCCTCAAGCCCTAACTGTGCCAGGGTTCTGCTTAGCTCTCATTCCTTGGTGCCTATATGGGGGGTTACCCACAGGGCGGCTCCCAGGGGTCTCCCAGCAGCCCTTCCACAGGCAGGCTGGGACCTCTGGCAGCACCTGTGTCATTGGCTTGGAAAGGGGGAATCATCCAAGTGCATGTTTCGATAAGACTCGTGAGAAGGCACACACAGTTAGCATCATTTAATCAGTGGAGGATGCGTGTGCAATGTCCAGGGTGCCCCAGCACCTTGGCCTCAGGGGAATGGAATTGGGTTTGGTGTTTTCATGGGCTCCTGTGTTCCAGCTCCAATGGGTGGGAGCTGGAGCCATATGAGGCTGCTCTCCCTGCCCGGAGCTGGAAAGCAGGAAGTGTCTCTAGTGATCCACAAAGAAGAGTGATCATCCCGAGCTCCCTGTCCCTGCAGGGCCAATGCTGAGATCGCCCAGGTTCGAGGCAAGGCTCAGCAGGAACAAGCTGCCCACCAGGCCAGCCTGCGGAAGGAGCAGCTGCGAGTGGATGCCCTGGAAAGGACGCTGGAGCAAAAGGTAACAGGGAGTGGTGTGGCCTCCAGGCGGCAGGGCTGCTGCTGTCTGTGCTGCTGACCAGTCCAGACAGGCTGGGCTTCCCCAGCCACTGCTGCTCCCGAAGATAAGTTCATGCTTCATGAACATACCCTTGGCTGCTTCTGGAAGTTCCAGTTTTATGCCAGCCCTGAGACCAGCTTCCTCTCCACCATGCCTGGAATTGCAGCCTGCATGTGTGTTTACTGCTATTTTAATTCCTTTTGCAACATTCATTTATCTGTCAGATACTTATTAAGCACCTACAATGTGTTAGGCATAGCCCTTGAACCCCTGCATCCTGCATGCTTACTGGTGAGTGGATGAGGTGCCCACCAGGCCCTGGCAGCAGTGGCCAGCTGATGCAGAACATGGGCAGTGTCAGAGCTGGAAGGCCCAGCTGGCCTCTAGTTCCAGCGACAGGAGTGCTCTTCCCAAGGACACTCAGTTTGAGCCCAGGTTTCCTGCTTTTGGTTCTGGCACCCATACATCTACTGTGTACACTGTCTCCCTGGGTGTCCAGATAAGAAGCTCCCTCCGCCCAGGAAGGCCCTCTGAGCATTGGGCTGTTGAGTCTGTGTATGTGTGAGGTCAGCCTACCTCCCTGGATGTGTTTCTCAAGGAGAGGATTTCCAAATGTGCAGCCTCCTTCCAGTCAATTTCCTGAGCCTTGGGGTTCCCCTGCATGTTCATCCATGAGCCCCGCAGCCTGGGGCAGCAGCACTGCTTATGCATTTTGGTCCTTGATAGGCTGTCACGAGGCATCCTTTATTGGCATCAGGAATCCATGTGCCTCCCGAGTGGCCTCTGCCCCTCCAGGAGCGCCCAGCCAGCCCCAGGGGATTGGCCGTTCTCCTTTGCCCACTGTGGTTGGCAGTGGTCTCGAGGGACATTTGGGCCAAGCAGTGGTGATCTCTGCCCTGGGCAAGTGTCAGCCCTTACTCCATTTAAGTGATGTTGGGGAAAGAGCCCTGGGGAGCAAGAATCAGGGCTCCTGGCCCCACTGCACCATCTGTCACAGCCCTGGGCAAGCCTCACACCCCACCTCAGGGTCTGGGTTCCCTCTAGCTCTGAAAATGAGAAGGGCAGATGTATGATTGGGCAGATGGATTTCCCTGAGGTCCAAACCTGACACTTACCTAGTCTCCACGGGGCCCTGTGCCCTACAGCAGGATGCTCCTGGCTATCCAGAATTCATTCACGTTACAGATCATTC